GATCTCGCGGTCCGTGAATTCGAGCCCCGCGTCGGGCTCCGTGCTGACGGCTCAGAGCCTGGAGCCTGTTTCGGATTCTGTGTCTCCCTCTCTCTGACCCTCCCCCGTTCATGCTCTGTCTCTTTATGTCTCAAAAATAAACGTTAAAAAAAAAATGCCCCACACAAGAGCCAGCCGGTACAACCTACTGTTTCTAAGAAGAGAAACTGAAAGGTTTGGGGAAAGTAGCGTGATGCTCACAGGAAGACCGTTTACCGAGATGTAGCCAACGGGGAGTCTGTCAGTAAAAGAAGTTTAAAGAAGAAAAGTTACCGGAAGGACATTTCACGTCGAGCAGATAAGCATTAACAGAGCTCTCGACAGTCTCCACGGATCTAACTTCAAGGTAGGAAGTTCAAAGTTAGTACTAGATTATTTAGTGGTTGGTAATCGTAAACAATGAATAAAGGACAGCTCGTTGCCCCTAAATGTGCTTGTGTCTTCTTTAGGGTTATTGATTCTCATTTGTGTTTGCACATTTTTTTTAAATTAAGACTTTTTTTAGTGTTTATTTATTTTTGAGAGAGAGACAGAGACGGAGTGTGAATGGGAGGGGCAGAGAGAGAGGGAGACACAGAATCGGAAGCAGGCTCCAGGCTCTGAGCTGTCAGCACAAGAGCCCGGTGCAGGGCTTGAACTCATGAACCTCAAGATCATGACCTGAGTGGAAGTTGGATGATTAACTGAGGGAGCCACACAGGTGCCCCACACATTTTTTTTTGATGTACCACAAATGTCAAAACTTTTCCAACATATTTTTTCCTTAATACATTCTCATTGCTCCTGAAGAAGGTAATCAGTACCTGGAATGGAATGGAATATCCATTCCTGGAATGGAATGGAATATTACAAATAGCAATCCCTACGATGTGGAATCATAGGAGTCAAAGTGAGCAGGGCTCCTTCAGTCTCTGGTTGGGACATTGGAAGTCTTTGTTACATTATAGAGTAGTGGTCGGTTGAATGTTGGCTTTCATACCTTAGAACTCAGCCCATAGAGTTATGGAAGCTACGAATTTGGGGCTACTTTCCAAAGACTTACTGGGCAGATGAAAACGTATATCTGATAACAAAAATCTAAAGTTCTTTTCAACTCTGATATTCTTTTTTTTTTTTTTTAATGTTTAATTTTGAGAGAGAGAGAGAGAGAGAGTAGTAGAGAGTGTGAGTGGTGGTAGGGGGCAGAAAGTGAGGTTGTGAGATCCCAAAGTAGGTTTCTGGAAGTCTCCTTCTCAGTAGAGTTCTGAATATAGGGGGCCTGGAAACCTCACAAAACCGTGGGAGAAGGATCTATCAAAGTGGATGTTTAATTGACTGAGAGTGCACCCAGGTAAGTCTCCCCCACCCCTGACTTGCCTAATTTTTTTTTTTATGTTTATTTATATTTGGGAAAGAGAGAGAGAAAAAGTGCAAGTCAAAGGGCGCGGTGGCAGGCAGAGAGAGGGAGACATGGTAGTCTGAAGGTGTCTCCAGGCCCGTGAAAGAATGTAAAGCCCGAGCTTCCATGTAGGATCAAACCAACGAATCGAGATTACATGTACCTGAGCCGAAGTTGGACACTCAACCAACTGAGCCACCCA